TGGCCCTCTGAGGAGGGATGCCCTGTGGAAACATTTTCTTTTTTTTTTTTTTATTTAATTTTTTATTTTTTTATTTATTTGGGAGAGAGAGAGAAAAAGAGAGAGAGAGAGAGAGAGAGAGAGAGAGAGAGAGAGAGAGAGTGTGTGTGGTGTGTGTGCGTGGCCAGCTCAGCCCACCAGGGGGCGGGGCTGGCTGGCATGTGGTGCTGGGGGACCGAACCGTGGTCCCTGTGCTTTGCTAAGCTTGTTCTAAGTAGGTGCCTTAGACCACTGAGCCATCTCTCCAGCCCAGGAAACATTTTCAAGTTCAAATGTTCTCAGTTGTGTTCTTCTGGGGGAGACCAGAGCACTTCAGTAGGCTGCCCTGTTGTGGCTGTGGTGGGTACCCACCAAGCCTGTGGAGTTAAAACATGAGTTTTTCTGAAAGGCCGAGGCAGGAGAATCCCAAGTTCAAGCCCAACCTGGATACTACCTTAAGAATTTAGCAAGATCCTATCTTGAGAGAGAAAAAGGGCTGAGACTGTAGCTCAGTGCGAAGACCTTGGGCTGAGTTCTAAGTACTGGAAAGGGGGTGGTGTCTCCCTAATGCTTTAAACAAGTAAATAAAACTCCACGGGTGTTTATTAATGTTTGCTCATCCTTATTTCCTTGCCTTATTCCTTAAGCAGAAACTCTCTCCCCACGCATTTAGAATGACTATATCTAATACAATTTAGTTGGTCTTTGAACCAGGAATACATCTATTGCAACAGATTAATTTCTCTAGAAAAATCTATTTTTCTAGTTATCAGATTCAATAATCATTCCTCAGCAGGTTACAATTTTGTAAACTTGTAAAAATTATTTTTTTTTTCTTTTTAGTCTTGGTGTCAGGAGTTAAATCCATTGCATTCACATTAAGCACACTAAACACATGGTCTACCACTGGTCGATGAGATGCCTTGCCTTGCCTTTCCTTTCCTCCTTTTATCCTCCGCAACCTTCATCTTATTTCCTTTCCCCTTCTCCCACTTTCCCTTTCTTCTCTCAGTGCCTTCCTTCCCCTGCCCTTTCTCCATTTCTTGTCTTCTTCCTCTCCCTGGCTCGGGCTGGTACTCGCAACCCTCTTGCTTCAGCCTCCCCAGCGTTGGGATTATAGCCCTGCATCACTGTGCCTGGCATGTGATCTCTTTTTAGACTTTCAAAGGAAGTTTACATATTTTCCTGTCAATTTTTTAAAAAATTTATTTATTTATTTATTTATTTATTTGTGTGTGTGTGTGTGTGTGGTCAGCTCAGCCCACCAGGGGGCAGGGCTGGCTGGCATGTGGTGCTGGGGGATTGAACCACGGTCCCTGTGCTTTGCTAAGCTTGTTCTAAGCAGGTGCTTTAGACCACTGAGCCATCTCACCAGCCCCTTTCCTGTCAATTTTTAAAAGTACTTATTTATCTTTATAGAATTTTGTGCTGTGTGTCCTTAGACTCCACCTACAGCCAGCCAGGTCAAACTATCCTTAGAAATAATCATCCATCTGTGACTTCTGATTTGTACCTTTTCAAGATGTGTACTTCTTTTTGACCTATGCATGTTACCAGTTAAAGTTCTCTGGCATGCTAGGGACCTGCGCTGTCATCTTTGTCCAGAGAGATCACACATGAACATATTCTGGAGAACGTGTGGGTTGACTGAGTGCAGACATTCCCAGCCTCTCCGACACAATGTTGTGCAAATGCAATGCTGCTGAGCAGCCTCCTTAGTCCCAAGTGCTTGTGTCAATGCTGGAAGCAGGCATGTGAAAAACTTATTGAAAGAGGAGTTGCATAACTCTAAGTCCAGTTATGAAGAATATTTCTAAAAGCTAGCAAAGGCCAGGCATGGCAGCACACACCTGTAATCCCAGGACTTAGGAGGCTGAGGCAGGAGGATTGTCATGGTTTCAAGGCCAGCCTGGGCTACAATACAGAGTTCAAGCCAGCCTGAATTACACAGCAAGATCCTGTCACAAACAAACAAATGAATTGTAGCAAAAACAAACAAAAAGTTTAATCATGATCTCAAATGATACAAGAAATAACCAGGACATAACCTGATGCTGTTAGACAACTTGAGCTTCTTCTACTCAGTACATCTAAAGCTCTAAATGAGTTGCCTAAGAGTAACACAAGCATTTCCTTCCAACCATTTAACTTGGCAATAGCTAACTCAAGGACAGCAACAATGCCATTTTTCAGTGGCCATGCTAAGTGCTTCTTTTGTCAAAACAAGACCAAACAAAAAAACTTACAAGATCTCAAAAGGTTAACAGAATGATGACTGGTTTCCAAGGATGTACAGTAGGAAATCATTGCTTAGGGTCCCATGCCCGAACTATGCATTTGTTATCTCAGCTACAGGCCAGCTCAAGGCAATTGAGTGAAACCCTGACTCCTCTCTCAAAACAAAACAACTCAGTCCTGAAAGCCTAGTACATTTACATCTTTTAGAATATATATCTTTGTATTTTTTCATATAAATTTTATTCGCTTAGTTCTTAGAGTTGCTAATGGAAATACTTATTTTGTTGCAAATATAAGCATTCCAAGTACCAAGTTATATTAATATTAAAAGCCCATTGCAGTCTAAACTGGACAGAAAGATTTGTACAGACAGTTGGGTAGGCATGGTGGCATATGTTTGCAATCCCAACAGTCTGGGAGGCTGAGGCAAGAGGATTGCAAACTCAAGCCCAGTTGTGGCAATTTAGCAAGACTGTTCCAAAATTTAAAGATTGAAAAGAAAATTGATTGGGGTTGTGTCTCGCGAGCAAAGGTCCTGTATTTGAATCCCAGCATCACAAAAAAAAAAAAAAAAAAAAAAGACAAAGAACAAGCAAATACTGGCCATGCTTCAAATTTAATGCAATTCATTTTGTATACAGTTTGTTTTTCAGTACTGGGGATCAAACTCACAACCTTGAGCTTGCCAGTGGGCTATCTCCCCAGCCACTGGTACATACAGTTCTGCAGGAGCAACTGCAAGCCCAGGGCTGAGCAGAGACTCTAGTGCCTCAGCTACCACACCCTGGAAAAGAAACTCGGGGGCCATTCCCACTGAATAAGCCCAGTGAATGTGGCCACAAGGAATGAAGATGTTTAACTTGTCACACAAACTAAACACTTCGTGGCCCAGGATGAGAAAGTCAACCTGTAGATGTCTTAATAACTCATGTGTATCCTAAGCGCTTTGTTAATTTATTAATGATGCTGGTGCTAGGGATGGAACTCTGGACCTCAAGCATGCTGAACACATGCTGTATGCTGGAGCTCCGCCCCTTACCAAAATGTTTCATTGAAATGCAATGAATATAAACTGCCCAGCTGTCAATCTAAATATCTAATTTCAGTGTCCTCTACTGGCCTGCAAACATGGCCTAATAGTTACTTTATACTTTTTAGGCTATAACTAATGCAAGATTTTCAAAAGAAATAGTTTTCTAACAGAAATGACTGATAGCATTGTGGCGAGACATTATTCAGGGCATTATCTATTTCATTCTTCAGTCGAGGTAACTCATCTACTTTTTAGACTTAACTTCTAAAGAAAACTGCTATGATCTGGAGAGATTGGCCATAAAACTATTTGTATTGAAAACTTAGCCAGCGTCTTTAGTGAACTCATTCATTAGCATTCTCAGTGGGCAGGTTTCCATATCTCCGTGTTCACTTTATACTTTAATTTGGTTAGTAGGTCTTTGTTTAACCGTCCTATTGAAAGGAGAACAAAGGAGGTTTGGGTGACACAGAGGAGTAATGCACTATGTTTTATCTCTGAAAAAGCCCGACGAAGTCAGAATACTCTCGATACCCTCTGATTTTCTTCAGGACGTTTGGAACCACAAATCAGCTGGAGGATAAGGATCCTCACTGTCCTTAACAGCAGACACCTGCAGAAGAGAAACACCTTGTTGGCCACAGAAATTAGGTTTTGCCAGCTACCTCTGGCCCCAAAGGCTGATTATCGCACCAGAAGAGCTCAGTTTCCTGTGAGTGAGTGTCCGTTTCTTAAATACCATCTCCTCCAGTAATATTGCTGGCCAGGAGTTCTTTTTCTGACTACTTTTCTTTATAAAGCTCTGATGCTATTCAAATGATAGTGCCCGGTAAATGAAATCAGGGCAGGATTTTATTTACAACTGGAGAACTTCTCTCCAAAGGGAAATATTTTTCATTCCTTTGCTTCTAATTCTCAGTTGTAAAACGTCCTCACATTCTTCCTGCTGGCAATTTCTCCCCCGCCAAAGTCAAGCCCCATCTTTCCTTAGTTGGGGATCCCTACAGCTTTCTCTCCACACAGGCTTTTGCTTTCTGTTTTGTTTAACTTCCTTAGCACCACTACCTTAATCGCCATCTTTTTGTAACACCGCACATTTATGCGTTGCTCCTTTTCTTTAGTATTACCTTCTGGAGAATGACTACGATAAACTTTCTTAACTTTGCTTTGCAGATATTTTATTTTCGAACCCACATTTCCTTTTATAGTTTTTTTGAACTTGTTTGGTTGGTGTTGCAGCCAGCCATCCAGTAGAGGCGGAGGCCACCAGTTCATTTCACACAGGCCACTGAGCAGTCGTAAGATGGTGACAACTGTGGGTCTCTGGTGACCTGGACTAGATTCGACTCGCTGACCTAGAGGTGAAAGGCTCTGTATTCCATTACTAATCCCTTGAGCCATCCAGACCCCTGAAAATGATTCTTTGGTTTTATTATTGCAAAGACCATTTATAAAATCATGAACTGGATTTAGGAAAGCAACCATGAAATAGCGAGGGACAACAAGCTGATTGAAATTCCTTCAACATAGCATGGGCTGAAGTCTCTCGGAAGGACTGCGGGGAAGGTTCTGTCTAGGCACCTCCTTATTTCAGTAGCAGGACCTGCTCACTTACACACGGAACTGTAGACCCACTGACTGTGCTTCAAGGAACTAAATCCTAAAGAAAGAAGATGGAAAAGCAAACTATGAAAACAGTCAATAATCTTTATTTCGTACTTCCCCCACCCCTTGTCCCTCTCCAAATAAGCACTAATGGGTATACGTGTGATTGTGAAAATATTGTATATAGTATTTAAATGATTTCAAATTAATAAAACAAAAACCATGTATCTCAACACACTTTGTTTTTGCAGGGACAGAAAAATTGTGGCCTCCAGAACAAGGAGGGCAATGATACCCTGCACTTTTTAAAAGGTCTGAACCATTTTCATCCATTTGCAATTTAACATTTATGGCAGAAAACCACATTCCTGTATCTACATAGTAAGTTCTAAAATATGATTGAGTCACACACTAATACCAACTGACTTGCCAGTAAAAAAAACAAACAAACAAACACAAAAAAATCACATTTTCTATTAATATATTTGAATTAGGTTCAAAGCCCACATTCTAGCATTAGAGATCTCCATTACATGGGCCTCAACTGGGATTATTTCAAAATCAAGTAAAAGTCTGTTTATTCCCAAGTCACTAAAATATGCTAATAAAGTTAAATTTGATGTTCTTACTTTAAAAATATCTGGTTTATTTTCAGATACCTGTAACATATAATAAATAGTGGGCAATACCCTGAAATTTGATGTTTTCTTAAAAAAAAAGTAATCTACTTCATTTCAGCCTTAAAGTACAGTATCAATGAACGAGTCTGTAGAAATAAAACAATGTAACACGAAATGCTACAGTGATGGGCTTTTTGTTTTTACTTTCATGGAAACTACATGCCCTTTTAATAAAAGTCAAATAAGTTTACAGAAACAAAATAGGTAACAAAGGAAACAATCCCAAATCATAAGCTACAAGTTTAAGAAGCCTGTGCGTCCCAGCTGCTAGGTCCTCTGCCCCAGGCCCGGTCGCTCGGCAGGCGCCTCCAGGTAACGGCTGCCACCGTGGCTCCCTTCCGAGTCTCCTTTGCTTATGTACAGCAGTAATTACAGACATGGCTGAAATCACGGTGAATTTTAGAGAAAGCCAGAATTAAACACGATAAAAATTTAAAAAATAACTACTTCATAAATATTTATTATTTACATTAGGGGAAATTTTTTAGTATGAAGTTTTATACAAGTTGATGAAATGTACAAGCAGCAAAGAGACTCTAGCAGTTTAAAGAAGGGCAAAATTAGAATGCAACAAAGGTACAAAATACATTAGAATAAACAAAAATAATTTGCACAGAAGCAAACAGGACATGATAGAAACCTTTTTCTTAAAAAATATAAGGTATTTCACAAAAGCCTGAACATTTTACATGTTAGTACTAAAAACAGGGTGAGGGAGGAGGGAAGCTTCATATATTCTCATCACAAAAATATTTACCAATGCTCCTCCAACTGGAGTTTTATGTTATGATTATCTTACTATAGAGGGAAAGGAGCTGAAAACTGTATACAGATTAATGGTATCATCCTTAAATTACAATCAAGGTGGTTTACATTATCTTCTCATCTAACACCTTAATGAAAAGGCCTTGCAGATAATAAAGGAAATCAAAAGGGACGATGTACGGTCTTTATTAATACTTGTCACTGGTAATAGAAACGTGGAGGTGCGTGGCCCCAAGGCTGCGTCCCTGCTGGAGTCCTGCACTCCCGTGGCCTTGGGCCCACAGGTCAGTGTGTACTAGGGCAGGGGCGGTCCGATCGAGAGTTCTGAGTGGCACCATGCTGTCCTCCACCTTCCTGGGCTCATCAGCCACGGCCTTGGGGAGGCAGAGACGCCTGCGGCTCCTGCCAGGAGGAAGGAAGGGAAGGAGGGAGGGCGCAGGAGGGGCTGAGCTGCCGCTGCTCCCCCGCCCTCCGGGGTCGTCAGTGCGCTCGGTGCTTCCTCTTCTTGTGCTTTTTATCCTTCTTCTTGTTGGCACACTTTGGGCAGAACCACTGCATCTCTTCTGGGGGTGCAGCCATTACCCCAACACAGGGCCTGCAAGTCAAAGACATGAAACACGTTTTCCCTCTGTTCTCACCCACTCCCATGCCGTAGTGGGGCTTGAACCCAGGGTTTCACACTCAGCTGTATCCTTTTATTTTTAAATTTTGGGACAGGGTTTTGCTAAATCACAAAATTGCCCAGGCTGGGCTTGAACTTCTGTCTTATCCTCCAGAATCCTGCAATTATAAGTGTGAGTCACCATAACTGGCCTACATTTTTCCTTCCTTTCTAAGACATTCTTGAAGTCTATGGTGTATTCATGCCTATTCTTTTCCTTTCTATATTTTCAAATCATTTTAAAAGTCGATGATATTGCCTGGTGTGGTGGTGCATGCCTGTAATCCCAGCACTCAAGAGACTCAGGCGGGAGGATCACTGAGAGTTTGAGGCCAGCCTGGGCTACACAGCAAGCTCAAATCCATCTGAACGACACAGTGAGACCCTATCAAAAGAAAAAAAGAAAAAGAAGAAGAAAAAGCAAAAGTCTGTGATCTATTTACCATAAATCAAAGTCAAATGGCTCTAGTTTGTGTATCACTGCTTACTGCTGCACATGTGAATTAGTAGAGAGAATAATTTCTCCTTCCTCTTTGCCACAAATATTACAATCCTGAGCAATGTTTTTTTTTTTTTTTTTTTCTCCTGAAGGTATCACATATCATAACAGAACAGATATGTACTTACAACTGGTATTTTAAAAACAAAGTAAAAGGATTGCATGTATTTTGGTTGACTGTGTCCAGTTTTGAGGAACTTCAGGAGAGGTTTAAAATAGATGAAGCTTGGCATGGTGGTGCACGCAAGTAATCCTGGTAGTGTAGAGGCTGAGGCAGGAGGATCTGAGTTCCAGGCCAGCCTGGGCTACATAGCAAGACTTATTTCAAAAACAAAAAATAAAAGCACCAAACAAACAAACAAATCCAAATCTGCCCCAGACAAGCTGTATTTGTCTCTGTAGACTGTGCCAAGATGATCAGGAATCACCTCAGAAGGACACTGTCGAGCACTGCAGCTCTTACCAAACATCAGGGAGAGGAAGGAAAAGACAAGCTTGAAGTCTCCTCTTAACTATTTTATAGGAAGGATAGATAAGCTAAACAGTCACAATTTAGGCTGAATAACAACAGTCTAAGACTTGGCTTTCACAGCTGGCCTCCATGGTCCCCAGTACTGATCTGCAGACCCCCCCACGCCCACGCTCTCCCAGTGGCTGCCTGGGCCCTGGACACTCACCAGTGGTACCAGTCATCACAGTCGTCACAGCCGATCATCGGACTCCCATCGTCCGGCTTGTTACACCCAGGGCAGATCCAGATCTGATTGCCCCACTCGTCTCGGATCTGACGTTTTCAGGGGGGAGGGAGTGAGATCAGAGATGAAACGGGGAAAGGAAGCAAAAAGCAGCCAGGTAAGAATTACTGGTGCACGCTAGATGGCTATAAATGAATAAGTATAGCTTAAAAAGAGAGGAGAATAACATTTCAATGCTATGATCATGGTTATCACTGCTTTAGATTTATGTGAAAAAGAAAATTGCTGAGACTCTATAAGAGATTTCTAGTGACTATTCTGAACTCTCGTTTGTAACTCACAAAGAACTTTAATAATCCCCACTGAACAAAATGACATGCAAATTCTTAATGATCTGGGTCTTTCTGGCAGTAATAATTGACATTTTTGAAAGCTGCAGAGCTCAACGAACTATGGTTTCCTCAACCACATTCACAGGCATGGGACTAACACATACAGCCAAATGGGCATGTACCCCCTTATTACTCATTAGCCAAACCCTTCTCTTGAACCAGCTGATAAGATCAAGGATATAAAAGAGTTGTTACTAAGTAACTTTCCATTCCCTTTATGACATTTTTAGAAAAGTACAATCAACTAAAGGGCAAATGAAATAAGGGGCTCAGGAGGCCAAAGACATACTTATGCATTATTTTGATGGAAGTAGTGTATACCCTCAGTTTATTTTTTTAATTTAGCAGTTCTAAATAGGCAACATCTTTAATTTACCATTTCTTCACATTTTACATTATTAAAATCAGTCTGGAAGAAACAATTCTATGACGTGAGCAATGAAAAACAGTATCAAGTACAAACTAAACTTTAGTTTTCAGTGTAATTTAGCACATAGTTTCACTTTACTTATTTTGTAAGGTGTGGATTCTTCCTGTACACTTTTAGCACTGACTAGATATGAAAAAGGAAATGAGTTTCTACTGCGTGAGGAGGTATTAAGGGCCCAGGAGTCTCACACTATAGACAGGTTTACGTTTAAGGCTTACTCTTTTTGGAAACTCTATAAAGGCAAACTCCCCAAACATGAAGATTTCCTAGGGGAAACTGGAGCAGCAGCATTTCTGCACCCTTGGGCTTCCGGAAAGGTACGACACCGGGTGAACTGGCGGTCACAGATGTCCAGCGGCCCCAGCAGGTGCTGTCACTGAGCTAAATCCCCAGCCCAGGCTCAGCACTGTGCCTGAAGATCTTGGGCATGGTCATGGCTGCTGTGGCCATCCTTTCTGGAGGACAACGGGGTGTGAGACTGTGCTACATGAAAACATGTGCCACCGCACCCAGAACAGCATGGGGCACTTCATAGTTTATCACACCGTCAAATGCATTCACATCCTAAAAGAAGTCTTGAGTAGCCTAAGGAGGGGGAAACTGGAGCTCTAGCACCATGGATCAGGGGATCAGGCAGGGACAGAATCAGCCCATTGGGCCTAAGCGCATTCTGCCCTCTCTCTACAAAGTGCCTCTTTAGGACTTAGAAGTTTTTTTGTTTTTTTTTTTTTTAAATTTATTTTGTTGTTACAGGGTCTCATTGCGCAGATTGGACTCATAGTGATCCTCCTGCTTTCAGCCTCCCCAGTGCTGGGATTACAGGCATGTGCCATCATGCCCAGACTCTGGCTGGCTCAGTGCTGGCGTGGCATGTGGCACTGGGGATTGAACTGCAGTCCCTGCACTTGCTTAAGCAGGCACTCTAGTCCACTGAGGCATCTTGCCGGCCCCAGGAATTAGAAGGTTTTCAACTCCACTGTCCATTCTAGTTGGACCATCTTGGTAGAGTGAGTGCAAAAATCCCCTGGAGAGTCTACGTTTCCAAGCCCAATGACAGCAGAGATCACTGCATCTACCACAGAGCCCTTCAGTACAGAGGAACAGACAGAGGCATAGGGGGTCAGGTAGAAAAGCCTTCCAGATCAACTTGCCTTACTAGGGCACTGTTGCTGCAGTCAGACACACATAACAACTGGTCCTTGAATGACCAATCTGATGATTGCAGCTTTTTTATAAATTACATCTTTTATTTTGTTTTTGTCAATTGAGTATTTTTTATAAATTTTTCCTGTTGGTGTTATCATGGTCTCATAAGAATTTACTTAAAATTCCTTCTAAAGTCCCTTGAGCAGTATGATACGCAGTTCATGATAACATGTTCCAAGTGTCCAGTCACCTTCCACTGAAGGCCAGCATCATCACTAGCCAAGGGCAGCACTGCGGGCAGAGCTGGGGGTCTTGGCAGTGCAAAATATCTTGTTATACAGGTGTAGTGTGGTGCCCTTTTGATCCCAGCACATGGGAGGCTGAAGCAGAACTGCTATGAGTTGGAGGTCATCCTGGGTTGCACAGTGAGTTCAATTCCAGCTTGGAATACATAGCGAGACTCTGTCTCAAAAAATACAACAAAAAATTTGTTTCCTGTTCACATGTCACTCTATAGTGCCCACAGAGCACACCAGAGGATTCAGGGCTTGAATAGATCGGGTATAAAGTATGGGGAAAACACCTAAACCAGGCCCTGGACGATGTAAACTCTTCCAGCATGGTACATTTTATAATCTAAAGACATGCTTGGATGCTCAGGAAACTCTGTGGGTAAAAGTTCATTTCCATTTAGCATGTAAGTCCTGGGACAGAATGAATCTTAGCCAGTAAAATATTATAGATAGTTCTATAATTCAGAGACACCAGCTGACTCATAAAATCTATACATATAATGTGAATTATACTTGTAAGTAAATAATTACTTAAGAAATTCACCTTTTTTGAGACAGGGTCTCGCTATGTACCTTGAACCTGTGGCAGTCCTCTTGCTTCAGCCTCTTGTGTGCTGGGATTATAGATGTGCACCAGCAGGCCCAGCATTGATTCAGAAATTCAACGTAGGATATATGTATCACTATCTGTATATTTAGTCACTGGGGCTGGGGAGATGGCTCAGTAAAATAAGCACATCTCTGGCAAGCGTAAGGGCCTCAGTTCAACCCCCGGTTCCGCCAGAAAAACAAAAACAAAAAAAAACAGTATATTTAGTCACTGATACTGCTGTACAGAGGTACACAGACATATTCCAAAACAATATAAAGTAATGAAAAACAATGCTTTGACATATTTACATAGACTGTATATGTGAACATTGTAATATAACATTTTAAAGCTATGTCTCCAAATGTAATGAAAATACTTTTCTAATCATAAGGACTTGCACCTGAGAGTCAACAGAGATACACAGAAGCTTCTCTGTAACTGACAACACTTCTCTGACACCATAGGGACCTGTGCACAGCAAGAGCACGTACCACATAGGTGCTGACGGTCTCGGTCACCACACTCCGCACAGGCGCCTTGGAGCTTCCCCCTGCCACCAGGGCAGGGGCCAGAGATGGCAACAGAGCAGGGCACGCTGTGGCCTGGGGCAGGAGTGGCAGTGGCAGTGGGCTGGGGTTCACATGCACAGGGGCTGCAGCTGGGGTGGGAGGTGGGGTCTTGGGTCTATTCAGAGAAGGTGCTGGCTTAGCCTCTGGGGCTGATACCACTTTGCTGATGACTCTGTAAGCAGGAGAGAAAAAGTAAAGGTCAAAACAGGATATTGGAGTCAAGCCACATGTTTTTAAAAATATCATAAGAGAGCTTCTTCTATTAGCAAAATGTTTTTGTTTTGTTTGGTTTTTGTTTTCAAGTACTTTGTGAGGCTGAGGCAGGAGAAGTTCAAGCCCAGCTTCAGTAACTTAGAGAAATCTTGTTTCAAAATAAAAAATGGGCGGGATATAACTGATCACAGAGGCTCCGGAGTCAACCACCAGACACTGAAAAAACGAACAGTACCAGGGCTAGGAATGTAGCTAGTATAAGCCAGGGCCTGAGTTTTTTTTATTTATTTATTTATTTATTTATTTATTTATTTATTTTTTGGTTTTATAAGTTACCCACATTTATCCCTTTATTTTTTTTTCAATGTCATCCCATTATTTATTTATTTTTTTTACATTTCTTTTTTTTTTTTCCAAAGTTTTATTGATAAACATATAGCAATGAGACAGTTTCAAATCAAATCGAAAGTACAGTTTCAACAAATAATACACTGCATATATTCTTCTTAGTGGGGCCTGAGTTTTATACTTAGCACTAAGAGAGAGACTTAAGTTTTCCTTTTCTGACAAAGTACAGACACAAAGAACTGTATCAGAGATTGTAGTGAGAACCTTAAAGTAGATACTTCAGAAAGTATGTACAGATGTACAGCAGTAATGCAGGCATTATATCCATGGCTGTTGCTATGACGATAACCAATCTGGTAGAAGGAAAGAAAGAAAATGAAACAGAACAAGACAAACAGCACAAAACATAAGGTGGATTTTAACTCTAAATAACAATAATCATTATCATATAAATGGTCTGAAGTTATCAATTTGGGTAAAACAGAGAAACCCAAATGTATTCTATATATGAGATATTTAATAATAGAAAGGCAGAAGGAGCTACTAAAAAAAGATGCACACAAATGTAATACTACACAAAACAAACTTGTAAAGAAGTACCAGTGATAAAGAAGTACCAGTGATAAAGAAGTACCAGTGATAAAGAAGGCTATGAGAGAAGGTTCCAGTGTGCCAGGAAGGCATGTAATAATTTATAACTTTTTTTTTTGCGGAACCGGGGATTGAACTCAGGCCCTTGCGCTTGCCAGGGAAACGCTTATTCCACTGAGCTATCTCCCCGGCCCGGCATGTAATAATTTAAACACTGTATGTACCTTATAAGATAACCTCAAAAAATATATGACCAGAATCTCTGTAAGAAACACAATGAGAGATTTTAACATATCTATCACTCTGTGTAACTGACAGTCAAAACACCAGCACACACAAAGGTTTGGGGGCTGGGGATGCAGCTCCGCGGTAGAGCATTTGCTATGATGCCTGAGAGGTCTTGGCTTGATCCCCATCCCTGGGAGAAAAATACACAGAAGGCATGGACAACAGAAAGAACCAAAGTGGCCCAATGGCTATTTTAGTTTGGGGGCAGGTTCAGACTAGGGACTGAACCTAGAACCTTGTGCATACTAAGCCCACATTTTGCCAGTGGCAAGACCTCCAGGTTTTCATGGTCATTTAAAAACTCTGTATTCACCCAATGCAGAATATTTTCCCAGAATGTACTGCATACTGTAGAAAAAAAAAAAAAAAAAAAAAAAAAACAACAAACTCAGTGAATTTCATAAGGCTGAAAAATGACTTGAATAAGTGGTGTACATATTTGTTAATCCTGATGCACAGATAATTTTGTGAAGGAACAGAAAGTTCTTTTTAAACTATTTAGTATGCACCTGATAGATAAATCTGAATGGATTTTATTAATCAAACACAGTCAAAATCTGGTCCTGAAAGCAGTGATAGTTTAGATAAAACAACACATTCACTTTACATTTTTAGCCAATCAAAATTACAGCAAAAATAAAAATAAGCCCTCTGATGTGAAAAGAAGGTGGGAAAACTGGCTCTCTACATGCCAAAAACTAAAACTTGACCCAGGTCTATCACCATGCACTAAGCTAAAGTCAAAGTGGATTAAAGAGCTAAACATTAAAACAGAAACACTAAATCTCCTGGAAGAGAAAGTAGGAGGAACTCTTGAAGACATAGGGGTAGGCAAAGAATTCATGAACAAAAATCAAATCGCACGGGAAACACTTGAAAGAATTAACAACTGGGACCTGCTCTTACTGAGAAGTTTTTGCACATCAAAAGAAATTACCAACAAAGTGAAAAGATAACCCACATATTTGGAAAAAATCATGACAAATAAGTACTCAGACAACGGTCTGCTCTCTAGAATATATACAGAACTAAAAAACATTAGCACCCCAAAATTTAAAGACCCAAACCAGAAATAGGCATCTGAGATGAACACACACTTCTCAGAGGATGAAATTAAAGAAGTGAATAAATATATGAAAAAATGCTCCACATCACTAGCCATCTGTGAAATGCAAATTACAACAACACTGAGATACCATCTCACCCCAGAAAGAATGGCTATCATAAACAAATCAACTAACAATGAATGTTGGAGAGACTGTGGGGTAAAGGGAACCCTTTTCCACTGTTGGTGGGAGTGTAGACTGGTGTAACCGTTATGGAAATCAGTGTGGAGACTCCTTAAAAAAAACTAGGACTGGAAATCCCATTCAGGTCAGCTATCTCCCTACTGGGAATTTTCCCAGAGGAACTGAAAACATCATATCATAGTGATATATGTGTGCCTATGTTTATTGCAGCACAATTTGTGATAGCTAGATCTTGGAAACAACCAAGATGCCCATCATCTGAGGAATGGATGAAAAAGATATAGTATTTTTATACAATGGAGTATTACTCAGCTATAAAGAATGAAAAGGAGGGGATGTGCAGAGTCTCAGGGAAAGGAGAAAAAGCAGAAGTGCAGGAGTTAACCATCCAGGCTAGGAACGACCCAGATATTTCCAGCTGTGCTTAATTTGGGGCGAGCGAGAAAGACAGGAACAAAAGGAGGACCAGAAGAAGGAAACAGCACTGTGACCTCAGCAACTACAGGCAGAAAGGCACCCGGAAAGCTGCGTGTCCATGATGCTCGGCAAGGACGGCAACAGAGCCGACAATGAGGGGTTGGAACGCGACCTGCAAGGAGCCTGATAATCATTTTTTTTCCATCCTAAAATTTGGTAGCTCTCTTGGTGAAATGTGTTTCTTGGAGGGAAACACTAAACCTATTGTCTAAAATTATAGATATTCATGGGCTCTAATACACCATGATCATGTGAAATTGAGAATTAGCTCAATTGAGACCTGTAAAACAGTGTAATTTGGGGTGTGTGTGTATGTGTGTGTGATGCTGGGGCTCAAACCCCTTGTGCATGCAAAACAAGACCTCTACCACTGAGCCACATCACGACCCTCTGCCCCCTTATTTTTGCGGTATCAGGGATCAAACTCAGGGCCCTGTGCTTGTGAGGCAAGTGCTTATACCTCTGATCTATCTCCCCAGAGCTGTCTTTTTTTTTTTTTTTTTTGGCTAAGGATGTTTCAAGCTGGCCTCAAACTTACTGTGTATCCAGGCTATCCTTGAACTCTCTTGGTCCTCTTGCCTCAGTGCTGACAGTGCAGGTGTATGCCACCATGCAAGCAAAGGTGGCATAATTAGAGGTATATAACAAACTATAAACCCTATAGGGCTTTCAGATTGGTAAAAGAAGACAAAGTAATACAAAATGCACCCCAGATTTTCTAAGGATCTCCTCAAAGCAAAGATGATAAAGGAAACAGCGACTTGATTTCACAATGATTTTTTATTTTTTAATTTTTTTTTGGCAGAACCGGGGATTAAGCTCAGGTCCTTGCGCTTGCCAGAGAAGCACTTATTCCACTGAGCCATCTCCCTGGCCCCTGCACAATGATCTTGGATGGTACAAAATATCATAAAGTTAAAAGACAAAATGAAGAAAATTATTTGCAATGTGCAACAGACTTAAACAGGATCAAAGAACAGAAGCAAGCAAAACGGTAGTAGATGAGAAAAAAACACATTGTCATCACAGTAATCAAAGATACCAACATATTCATAAAAGGCCCTTTTTGGCACTGGGGATTGAACCCAGGGCCTTCATTGACCCACAACTCTCCTTTTCCTTCTTCTTCTTTTTTTTTTTTTGGTGGAACCGGGGATTGAAATCAGGCCCCTGTGCTCGCCAGGGAAGCCCTTATTCCACTGAGCCATCTCCCCGGCCCTCTTCTTTTTTTTTTCTTTGCAGTACCAGGGATTGAACTTGGGACTCTGTGCTTGCCAGGCAGGCACTTATTCTACTGAGCTATCTCCCTGGTCCCTTCTCCTTCCCTTTTGAGATAGCATCTTACTAAGTTATCCAGGCTGAACTTGAACTTGTGATCTTTGGACCTCAGTCCCAGAGTTTAGAGAATATAGGTTCGTGCCACCACACCTAGCTAGTACGAGGTCTTTTTACTTTTTTTTTTTTTCTTCTTTTCTTTCTTTCTTTTTTTTTGGTGGAACCGGGGACTGAACTCAGGCCCTTGTGCTTGCCAGGGAAGCGCTTATTCCACTGAACCATCTCCCCGGCGCCGCCTTTTTACTTTTTTTTTGAGGTGGCTTTTTAAAAGCAGAGATGACAATGACCAAAACTACCTAACTTTCAAAACTGGGGCAGAGAGGGGTAGTAGTACAGTGTTTCTGAATGGCTATCAAAACCTTAAAAACGTACCATTTTTTTTAAGAGAATAAAAAAATAGAACATCAGAAATGATATAGAATTTTAAAAAAAGATATTAGGAATTCAACAATGGTTGTTATGTTATACACTGTTGTCTTCAAAGTGGTGCTCAGATTACCAGATGTAAAGATAAAATTGATCAAAATAAAAATTCTAAGCAAGGGCCAGGGAGATGGCTCAGTAGAATAAGCACTTGCCTAGGAAGTGCAAAGGCCTGAGTTCAATCCCTGGTTCCACAAAATAAATAAAAAAAAATAAAAAATAAAAAAATCTAAGCATTAATTACTCA